GACTCCAGGATCATGACCTGAGCCGAAGGCAGTCGCTTAACCAACTGAGCCACCCAGGCGCCCAGACAGTATCTTTCTAGTCAGGGAAAAAAAAACAACCACCCTACTCTTTAAAAACAAACTGTGAGATTTGAGGATGCCTGTGTTGGAGGTGGGCGTTTTGGGTCACTCTGGGCCTCAGTTCCTCCTTACCCACTGGGGCCCCTGCCCCCCAGCATGGTCAACCAGGGCACGGGGACTCCCTCACCTCCGGGGGTCTCCTTCCTCCAGCCTGTCAGTCAGGATGTAGCTGGTTTTCTCCCCCTCTGTGGTCAAACCCTGGTGGGGAGTGGAATGAAAGAGATAGGGCCTGAGGCTTTTGGACAGTTCAGGTGAAATATATAAGCCGAGAGAGGCCAGGTCTCTCCGCCTAGTCCCCAGCCTGGCTCCTCTCTCCTACTCAAGGCCAAGATTGGCAAATCAGGGACCCCTGGTAGCCCGTGCCCAACCCCCACGGCAGCCCGAGTGCCATGATCCCAAATGGCACCTGTTTGCCAGCTTTCACAAAAGCCCCTGATCTTATGGGAAGGGTCTCGGCAGGTACCACGAAGCATGGGTTTGGCTTCTGGTGGCCCCTGTACCACTGAGTAAGTATCTGAAGGGGAACTCTATGAAGTCAGATGCAGGGTTGCCTCATTCCTTGCTGTATCCCAAGTGCTTACCATAGGGCCTGGCCCAGAGAGGGCACTCAGGAGACATCTGCTGAGCCAATAACAGGAGAGAGGGGGAGGGAGGGGTTTACCATCTTTCCATACCAAAAGAACAACAGTCCTACCCTGAGAGGGAAGTTAGTCTAACTGGAATGGAAGCTGAGCAAATGAACTGACCTCTGTATATTTTAGTTTCTTTATCTGTAAATGGGCATAAAGACCCACCACATATGATTATAAAGATTAAACCTGATATTGGTGGATTCAACTTAATTGTTATATAACAACTTAATTGTTGTTATATCTGGGGAACTGGGGATGCTGTGATAGGGAGAGATCCATTACTTCAGGGGAAGAGGACTTGAATTTTTACTTTATACCATCCAGAACTGTTTGAAAGTTTCCCCCCATAAGTATATGCTATATATAATAAAGACTGGTTTATTAAAAACTAAAAATAGGGGCGCCTGGGTGGTTCAGTCAGTTAAGCGTCTGACTCTTGATTTCAGCTCAGGTCATGATCTCGGTTGTGAGATCGAGCCCTGCGTTGGGCTCTGTGCTGGGTGTGGAGCCTGCTTAAGGTTCTCTCTCTCCCTCTACCCCTCCCCCCTCTAAAAAACAAAACAACAACAACAAAAACCAACTAAAAAGTCTGCAAAGCCACTAGTCTGGCACCTGGCACCTAGTAGAGGGTTAATAAATGGATATGCTGCATCTATTATTATTGTACTCGGTTAGCAACTATTTTCAGGACAGAATGGGAAAGTGGCCAGTCAGTGGCAGGGTTGGTTTAGCACTATGATTATGTTAAGACCCATAAGCCATCCAACTTTCCAATATGATAGGGACCTATCACAGGAGGGCCCAACTGGCAACTTCCCCAGTCCTGAAATTCTGATACCCTGCAGGCAGGGCCACTAAGCTGTGCCTTCTTCACAGACCTGGGTTGAAAGGGGGCCAAACCTATCCCTAGGGCTACTCACCTGGACCGGTTCTCCATCTCGCCACACCAGGCCTTCTCCATCACTTTCCCAGCGAAGGTGAACTTCCTGACCCACCCATGCCTCCGGGATGGTCAGCTCTACCCGAAACCAGCAGGTCCACCACCTGCAAGACAGCCAATGGGATGGGCCTAGGGGTCGAAGCCCTTTTCCTTTTGCCAGACTTCCTTGGATTAAGGGTCAGTGGGGACTTGAGACTTTCTCCAAGCATCCACAGCATCACAAGGTATTCATCTTGGTTCCACAAGAAAGAAGCAACAAGGTGTGCAGCAAGGTGAGGGGAAAAGGCAGACAAGTCAGGGGTCTGTGATCCGTCCTAGAGTGTCTTCCTGAGGGGTGTCTAGGTGCTGGGAGAAGGCAGGGGCGGGGGGATGAAAACTCTTCCATGAAAACTGAGGGACCAGGGAGCTGCTTCCAGCAGAGGGTGCTGCTCTGTCCCGAGTGGCTGTCTAGGACCGTGGGCGACCGTGGAGGTGTGGCCCTTCAAGCCAGTGAGCGAGGGAGAGGGCTGCCCGCGGGCCCCGCCTTCCCTCCGGGCGTTACCCACGTGGGGCCGAAGCTGTCGCCGATCTGCGCGGGGCGGAACTCCTGCTGCACCGCCTCCTGGTAGGGAAGCCTCTCGGGCGTCTGAAAGCTGGAGAGCGCGGCCACCGGGCAGCTGTCCCCGAAGAGCCTGGGCGGAAGAAGCCGGTAGGCGCGCGCTCGAGGCCGCCCCCGTTCCGCCCGCGGGCCGGTCGGCAATGGGGATGCGCGTTCCCTCGATCCACCGCCGAGAAGGCTGCCCCCCAGCACAACCTCTCCCCACCCCTCCTCCCGGGCCCTGGCCTTTGCCCTGTCCGCGGCGGGCACTTCGTCCCTCGGCCCGGGTCGCCGCGGCTTCGGTTTCCCCCCGGAAGGGAAGGCTGGGGCTCGCGGACGCGGCGGGCCGGCGCCCTGGGCGAGGGGGCCCCCACCTGCCGCGGAGGTTACAGTCCGTAAAGTAGAGCGGCGACACGAATTTCTCCACCCGCTCCAGCGTAGTGCGCCAGTGCTTCAGGGCCGGCGCCGCCGCCATCGCCGCGCGCCCGCTCCTCTCCCCGGAAGGCCCCTGCCGCTGCCGGCGCGGCCCACGGCCGGGAACCAAAGGTTCCGGCGTCCGAAGGGCGCCTTTCAGCCCCGGGCAGCTTTTCTTGGAACACTGGCGGCTCTCGGAAGCCCCGCCGCGCTGAACTTTGAGCGGGCAGCTGAGAGCCAAGAATGCGGCTTCCGAGGCTCTCCTCTAGCTCTTCCGAACCGGCGGGCCACCGGGCAAATCCCTAAGTAGAACGGCAAGTTTGTCGCTTAGATTCTCCGAAAGTCCTGACAGAGACCGGGGACTTTAGGCAGGACGGGCGGGAGCCCCAGCTGTTGCAGACGCAGGTCACCAGGGCTCAGAAGCCACGTGCGGGAACCGGCTAGTTCTCCAGGTCCAGCCAGACCTCTGGTGCTAGCTATCTCGAAAACCTGCTTAACGTGGGAAGAGCTAGGAGCCAGGACCTGTGCTTTGAAGCTGATCGGCAGACATGTGTTAAATAGGGAGGGCTTTGCACCCCAATAACCGGAGCTTCCTCCTACATATTTTGTGTATATAGCTGTCATCACCAGAAACCCTGAGAATATTTTGATGTGATGGCAATCACAGTCATAGCATTCAAGATCCCACTTGAATAACATTTCACCACACAGGACTGGAGAGTTCAGAAAAGCCACAATGCCAGAAACACCTCCAATTTCATCCTTACCCTAGTAGTCCATTGGCAGTTTCTTTTTCCCCCTTCTAGGATTGCCAAGCAGTGCTTGTCTATAAAATCATTACTAAGAAAAGTATATACACATTAGCCCTGGTATTTTAATGGAAATACTGACCAAGTTCACATTTCAAGTGCAAATCACAGGGAAAGGTGACTAAGTACAGAATACCAAACGTGATTTAAACTAAAGATAACTCGCTGCTATAACACAGGTTGAGTTTAGAGTTGGGAGTTCAGTTTTCAGACGGCAGGAGGCATCAAGATGGTGCTTGTGAAAACCCTGGCAGTAGGTGAAGCTCCCTCTTCTTTTGGTTGCCCTGATGGGTTGCATTTTCTCCTGAACTTGGCCCTGAAACCAGATCCTGACCTGCAGGCAGGTAGGTCTGGACGTAACCGTGCAAGGACAGCCAACAGCTGCGGCTGCCCCTGGCCAGACCCCATCAATTTCTCCCGTAATTCCAAATCAACATGACCTTTCTTGAGTGAGCAGAGGGGGATAGGTGAGCTATTGCTGGGAAAACCCGAAGATCTTTCCCCTCAATCAGTATGTATCACTGTACCTCCAAGTCAGGCACTGCCCTACCTTCACCCTACAATCGCCTCCCACAAGGCCCTTTTACCACCCCCTACACTTTGGGGCTCAGAGTCTCCTTTCCCTCTGCAACAAAAAGGTCTAAAATTGGAGAAGTCTATACCATGTGTTTTTAAAGTTCAGAAGCCCCCAAATTTGTAGTCTTTGGTGGCAGTGTTGGGGGTTTTTAAGCGAACAAAACCAAACACTGTTGGTTACTTTACAACTGAGACTAGGGCAATGGTTGATGGAGAATAAATCTACCAGAGTACTGGGAGGGGTTGTTGGTCTTTGTTCAGAAACTCCAGGGTGAAGACATACAAAACTCCTAATCACTCAGTTTAAATGTCTGGTCTGCTGGTCTAAATTTACGTAATTAAAAATATATATATTCCATTTGCAGTTGCTAATAATGTAGCAAATCTTCTCTCTCCCAACCCCATTTATACTACACACCTTGTACACATTTCTTTCAAATACTGGTTTGGTACTTAAGTTGTTCACCCCCATTTCCAATTAAGGATAAGAAAAACAACACAGAGAAATGCAAACCAAAGAGCCAGACAACTACCCAAAGAGAAAATATTTCCAAACAGTTGAAATAAGGGGAAAAACATGTACTAAAAGAATCAAGTATTCTTTTTTAAAAATTTGGAGTATTTTGATTTGGACAAGTGCAATGAACTGCTAACTATTTAAAGCAAATTGTTTGTGCCGAGGGTAAGGAACTGTGGCCCAAATCCCTGCTCCCCAATAGTTCTCTGGTGAGGACAAGGGACTTGGGTTGAGAGTTCATTCCTTAAGTAAGAACCAAGCTTTATTTATTTACAAAAAAAGAGAGAGAGAAAGAAAGGAAGAAAGAAGGAAAGAAAGAAGGAAGGAAGAAAACGAGAAAGAAAAAAAGGAGAAAAAGAAAAAAGTTGGGGCAAGGGGGAAGACAAGTTTTACACAAAAGTACTACAACGGTAACTCCCTTTGGTAAAAAGTGTAATAAATGTCTTGTACATCTGTTCATAGGTACTAAATCTGAAGCCACATGGAACTATGGTACACAAGAAGCTAGAGCAGTTGTGCTAGCACATCAAAGCATATTTCTTTTAATAAAAAATCGACAGTATGTACATTATTTACAAAAAAAAAGAAAAAGAAAAACCAAGTTAAAATTGTGTGCGTGTGTGTGTGTGTGTCAGAGAGTAAAGCTGGTGGATGGCACTAGGGTAGACTAGTAAAGAAGCAGGTACAAAACAGTTCCACGGGAGCTAAAAAGGACGACGGATTTGAACTTGCTGAGGCTGAGAACCAGAGGAGAGTGTAAAGGGTGGGCAGCGAGGGATTCATCAGGAAAAACCCACAAGATGATCAATCCCAAAGCCAAACTGCAGGTCCCAGATAAAATCTAATGGGTGATCTAGATGTGCTTGAGTGACCAGGAGGGAAAAAAAAAAAAAAAAAAATCAAATCCAGTTTTTTTTTCCTTTTGGGGGGAGAGGAGAGGAGCAGTGACCATCAGAGTTACAATCCATCTGAGCGGTGAGTCCTTCCCCAGTCTGTCAGTGCACGCCCATCCAGTCAAGGTGTGAACAGCATCTGGCTCCTTCATCGAAGGTCAGGCCCCAGGAGACTCCAGTCTTGGCTCTGCTGGTGTGTGCAAGCAAGCTGCATGTCTCTGTGCTTGCATGGATTTCCTTCCCCTCCGGGGCAGGCTAATACCCCAGACCCCTTAGGAAAAGTTCCAGCTCCGGCTTTGTAAGGTATCCACGTTCCTTATATGTAGCCCACTTGGTGCCAGGTTGCACCAGCCACACACTGATCAGGTGGCCATGTCCCAGAGAGGCCCAGTGAGGCTTGAAAGGCATCTTCCTTGTTTCTTCAGTGTGCGTGAGTGCACGCGCTCCCCACACACACCCCCCTCAAGTTATCTGCTCTCGCTTTGCAGTTACGGGGCTTTGAACACTGTGCCATATTTGACACGGTACTTGTTAATGCTCACAAAGTGCAGGGTCTCTGTGTCACAGGTGGTGGTACAGGGCACCAGGCCCTCCAGCCCCTCACCCATGAGCCACTTGCTGGTCTCTGCTGCCATTTCACGGGGCACATGCTCCTTGGTCCATTTATCTACCCAGGCCTGGAACCTCTGATGTAGCCGCTTGCTTACACGTTCATGGGACTGCAAAACAGAACAAGAAAAAAAAAACCAACCATGAACAAAACAAAACAAGCCAAAAAACACCTCTTCAAATACAAAGCCTAATTTTCTCCTAAAGTAGCAGAGGAAAAGATGTGGGGTCAAGCCTTTGATACTACTGGTTAGTTAGGAGTCTCTGTTTAAAGAAGAAAATTGAAAGAGACTAAGAACACAGAGCGTGTAGAGTTGGAACCCGTAAAGCCCCTTAAGAAATGCCAACATGGGGTCTGAGCAGAACGAGCCTAGTAGTTCTCATTTTTAGCATTCATTAGTATCAAATAGGGAAACTGATAAAAATACAGATTTCCTCGTTTTCATCAATCTGCTTTTTTTTTTTAACGTTTTTTTTTAAATTTTTATTCATTTATTTTAGAGAGAGAGAGAGCACAAGAGGGGGGAGCGGGAGAGGGAGAAGCAGACTCCCTGCTGAGCAGGGAGCCCGATGCGGGACTCGATCCCGGGACTCCAGGATCATGACCTGAGCCGAAAGCAGTCGCTTAACCAACTGAGCCACCCAGGCGCCCTCATCAATCTGCATTTTTAAACTAGCAGCCCAGCTGCTTCTAATGTACCCGAATGAGACACAATGAGTTGCAGCTATTAGGTCATTCTGTCAGCATGGAAATTCACAGAGCAAGGCAAAGGGCTTAAAACCCACCTTCCCTTCAGGGTATTACCCGACCCTGCATAGCAGGGCGTGGGACACGGCTGACCTTCAGGGGAGGTTTATGCTCCCACCTATCCATCCAGTAAATGTTTATCAGTGCCTATGTGTGAGGCAGAGCAGGAGATGCAAAGATGAATTAGGTGTTACCCAGCTCCTCAAATAATGTGCATCAGACATACAACACACATCATCATGAGAGAAGTCTATTAAACCTCCCACCCATCATCTCCTATTTGAATGATCTCTAGTCCTTTCAAACTTCACCAGTTCAAAACACAGGCTTGATGTGCCCTCACCCCCCTTCCTATCAACAGATTATACCCCTAAACTGCCCATTTATTCAAGCAGAAGCCAACAAAAACAAAACAAAAAGACCAGGCATCATCCTTGATGTTCTACTTTCTCTTACCTACTCACATCCGATCATTTCCACATCCTGACAATTGTTATCTCCAAATTGTACCTTTGATCTAATTCTTACAATTTCACTGCCACCCTGGTAGCCTGGGTCACGGTCACATCTCACTTGGACAAGAGCATCTTTTGAGCATTCTCTGCCTTTCCAACTTCATGCCCCAAATCGTCCCCACTGGGATGGACAGCAGTCCAAGCCATCCTGTCAACAATGTCCCCATGTACTTACTGCAAACAAAATCCAAACCACGGTCTATGAGACTAGTGATGATGTCTCTGCCCACCCTTCAAGTACGCCGCTCTACTTCTGGCTCAAGCCACACTGATGCTTTCTAGTTTCTCAAACATGCCGAGTCCTTTCCTCCCTTCCGGCATTGCATTTGCTGGTTTCCTTCATCTAGAAAGCACCAACCCTCAACTCCTCACCAGGCTGGATCCTGATCACTGTTCCAACCTCAAGCGTCACCTCCTAAGGGAGATCTCCCCCACCACACAAACAGAGCCTGAATGCCAGCTCCCCACAATCACTTCACCTAGTTTCTCTCCTTCCTGGTTGTCCCCAAGGTCTAGTACAATCCTGCTATAAAACTGCCCCAGGAAGCTTTCACAGTTGAGACAGCATGTGAGAACAAAGAGAATTCATAAGCAATACCACTTGAAATGCAAAAGCTGGGAGTAGCTTCGCTGAGGTGTCACTGGCTTTTGTGGATTGAACTGTGTCCCCTGGAAATCATTGTGCTGAAGTCCTCCCCCCAGTACCTCAGAATGTGACCTAACTTAGAAATAAAGTTGTGGCAGATGTAATCAGTTAAGATGCAGTCAGACTGTAGCACGGTGGACCTAGAGTCCAGTATGACCGGCCCCCTTTAAAAGGGGGACATCGGACACAGGCACACAGGGAAAACGCAACGTGAAGAAGATGAAGGCAGAGACCTGCATGCCAAGGAAGGCCAAAGACAGCCAGCAAAACACCAGGTGTGAGGAGAGGCATGGAAAAGATTCTCCCTCACAGCCCTGGTTCAAACCAACTCTGCCACACTTCAATTTTTGACTTTTAGCCTCCAGAATTGTAGGACAATAAATTTCTGTTGTTTAAGGCACACAGTCTGTGGACCTTTGTTCTGACGTCTTTAATAGAATACACCTGTTTACTCAACAATTCTCAAATCCAAGAGGTGGTTCTCATAAAGGGAGAGAAACAGTCAGGAACCTCTGCAGTAGGCCTGGGCCTGGCAGGGGAGGGAGAGGTATGGAGAAATTCCAGTGACCGGTTCTTACCTGATGAGCCCGGAGCAAGGCAGTTCTCCGATACATGTAGTCCTCTGACTTGATCACATACACCATCTTGTAGGAATTCAACTTGAATCTACACTCCAGTTTATCCAGGCTATCCACATTCTCCATGGTTTTTTTGCTGTTTCCTTCCTTCCCTTCCTTTTCCTGCTGTTCTCGACCACGCTGACATTTCCGGATCCGCCTCAGATTCCTACAAAGCAGAGAAGCCCTGCAGGATCAGAGCTCCTCCAGATGCGGATTCCTATGAGTCCCCTCAAAGGGGTTCTCCTTCTCGTATGCCTTTATAGCAGTTATCACAATTTCAGTTACATATATCTCCAATGGTTTCATTGTTAAAAAAAAAAAAAAGTTTCAAATGCAGAAATACATAGAATATAAAGTAGAAATCTTTAACCATCTCTTACCCCAGATTCTCCGAATCCCATGTGCCTTGGCAGAGGTAGCCACTGATAGTTTTGATTTTAAACCTTCTAAGCATCTCTGAATTCACATACGTAATCACTCACTATAGTTCTGCTTTGGGATGCTTTTAAAGACAAAACAGGATCATACTATAAAGATTTTATTATTCTCCACTTTTCACTTAATGTGAAGGTTTCTTTCATTTCACCAAAGACTTGTCACATTCTCTTGAATTGCTACAGAGTAACATGCCTTAATTGAACCATTCCTTAATAGGAATCAATCAGGGCTCCTCACCTGAACCACGGAGCAAAGATGATTATTTGCCTATTTTTTCTTTTTTTTGAAGATTTTATTTATTTATTTGTGAGAGAATGAGAGAGAGCACATGAGAGGGGGGAGGGTCAGAGGGAGAAGCAGACTCCCTGCCGAGCAGGGAGCCCGATGCGGGACTTGATCCAAGGACTCCAGGATCATGACCTGAGCCGAAGGCAATCGCTTAACCAACTGAGCCACCCAGGCGCCCTTGCCTATTTTTTCAATCCCCCCGCAAAGATAGTACATAACTCCTCTGTATTCTACCTACACAGTTAAGAAGACAATTCACATCAATGGATGCCCTGGCAGGTATTTAGAGCTGAATTCTCTCCAAAAGCAATTAGAAGAAAGCTTGTCAGCCAGACAATTATATTGTTTCTAATACTTTGCTATGAAAAAAGATTGCTTCAGTGAATATCTTTGTATACATGTATTTCTGTAGGACAGCAGTTCTTTGGTCCAAGGACCCTTGGGGGCCCCCAAGACTCTCTTCAGGAGATCTGTGAGATCAAAACTATTTTTTTTTTTTT